AGCCCAGCTCGAGGTCAAGCTGTTGTTCAGCATCTTAGCTGTAGAGGGCAGTGTCACTGGCCCTCATATGTGGGATCCGAACCGGGCCCTCTGGCGTCCCAAGCCAGCTCTTAACCAACACGCCACTCTGCCGGCCCTACATTTTTCGTTTTTATAATATCATTGTAAGGTCTCCTAGATTCGTGAAAAACAAATCTGCGTCTGAGAAAGCCACACAGGACTAGAGAACCTGTTTTCCTTCCTGACCACATTAAAAGAATCTGCTCTGCACAGGGTGCTGGTGGGAATGTGTCCCAAATTCCCTTGATATGCCAAGGTAGGGAAGTACAGGAGGCAAGCGTGGGCAGGTGGGAACCACACCAGGTAAGCGAAAATGTGGGGCTCCAGTACCAATGCCAACTCAACACCCAAATATCCTCGCAAACAGCATGCATTTAATAATATCTGTTCATCCTCTATGTTGCAAATTTAATTTTGTTGTTCAATTTGTCCTATTTCAATTATATTTAATTGCATGTCAGGATGGGCTTAACTTTCAACAGCATTACACATACAATCATTCCACAACCCTTTACCTCTCAATTAGACATAAAAGAAAAGCAGCATTTCCTAAGCACCTGGTGAACATTAGTGATAAGATAATTAGACTCCAACAGAGTTGTTTTGTATACAGAGCTACAAAGTGGCATTCAGCTGGATTCTGATGTCACATGACTTATATATGGGCTGCCTTAAATGAGTATACACAATCTAATTGGAATTTTTTCTATTTTAATGACTTTGTATTTTCATTCAAACAATTCTGTTCTCAGGCAATAACAAGTATTGACGAGGATATGAAGTTGGAACCCTCATGCATCGCTGGTGGAATGCGAAAATGGAACAGGCACTTTGAAAAACAATTTGGCAATTCCTTAAAATGTTAAACATAGAGTTACCATATTAGCCAGCAATTCCACTCCTAGGTGTACACCCAAGAGAACTGAAAGTGTATGTCCACATAAAAACTTGTACACAAATGTTTACAGCAATATTATTCATAATGGCCAAAATGTGGATACAACCTAAACATCCAACAATTGGTGAATGGATGAGTAAAGTATTGTATATCCATGCAGTGAAATCTTATTTGGCAATAAAAATGAAATCCTGAAACATGCTACAACATGGATGAATCTGGAAGACATGCTAAGGGAAAGAAGCCAGACACAAAAGTCCATTACTATGAAATGCCCAAATAGGTAAGTGTATCGAGACAGAAAGTAGATTAGTGGTTGCTTAGGGCTGTGAGTTAGGGGGACTGCTCATGGATACAGGGTTTCTTTGTGGAATAATGAAAATGCTCTAAAACTAGATTTGATGATGATGATCATAAC